TTTTGGCTCCAAAACTCAACAATTTGAAGGTTAGAATCTAAGTCGAATATTATTGCAACCTTTGCAATAATTATTAAAGTTTCATTTGACAACAAAATTTGAACTTTTTGGCTCCAAATTCAACAAGTTGAAGGTTAAAATCTAAATCGAATATTATTGCAACCTTTGCAATAATTATTAAAGTTTCATGTGACAACAAAATTTGAACATTTTCTCCAAAACTTAACAATTTGAAGGTTAAAATCTAAGTCGAATATTATTGCAACCTTTGCAATAATTATTAAAGTTTCATTTGACAACAAAATTTGAACTCAACAATTTTCAGGTTAAAATCTAAGTCGAATATTATTGCAACCTTTGCAATAATTATTAAAGTTTCATTTGACAACAAAATTTAAACTTTTTGGCTCCAAAACTTAACAATTTGAAGGTTAAAATCTAAGTCGAATATTATTGCAACCTTTGCAATAATTATTAAAGTTTCATTTGACAACAAAATTTGAACATTTTGGCTCCAAAACTCAACAATTTGAAGGTTAGAATCTAAGTCGAATATTATTGCAACCTTTGCAATAATTATTAAAGTTTTATTTGACAACAAAATTTAAACTTTTTGGCTCCAAATTCAACAATTTGAAGGTTAAAATCTAAATCAAATATTATTGCAACCTTTGCAATAATTATTAAAGTTTCATTTGACAACAAAATTTGAACTTTTTGCTCCAAAACTCAACAATTTGAAGGTTGGAATCTAAGTCGAATATTATTGCAACCTTTGCAATAATTATTAAAGTGGCTCCAAAACTCAACAATTTGAAGGTTAAAATCTAAGTCGAATATTATTGCAACCTTTGCAATAATTATTAAAGTTTCATTTGACAACAAAATTTGAATTTTTGGCTCCAAATTCAACAATTTGAAGGTTAAAATCTAAATCGAATATTATTGCAACCTTTGCAATAATTATTAAAGTTTCATGTGACAACAAAATTTGAACATTTTCTCCAAAACTTAACAATTTGAAGGTTAAAATCTAAGTCGAATATTATTGCAACCTTTGCAATAATTATTAAAGTTTCATTTGACAACAAAATTTGAACTCAACAATTTTCAGGTTAAAATCTAAGTCGAATATTATTGCAACCTTTGCAATAATTATTAAAGTTTCATTTGACAACAAAATTTAAACTTTTTGGCTCCAAAACTTAACAATTTGAAGGTTAAAATCTAAGTCGAATATTATTGCAACCTTTGCAATAATTATTAAAGTTTCATTTGACAACAAAATTTGAACATTTTGGCTCCAAAACTCAACAATTTGAAGGTTAGAATCTAATCTTTAATACATATTATTGCAACCTTTGCAATAATTATTAAAGTGGCTCCAAAACTCAACAATTTGAAGGTTAAAATCTAAGTCGAATATTATTGCAACCTTTGCAATAATTATTAAAGTTTCATTTGACAACAAAATTTGAACTTTTTGGCTCCAAATTCAACAATTTGAAGGTTAAAATCTAAATCAAATATTATTGCAACCTTTGCAATAATTATAAAAGTTTCATTTGACAACAAAATTTTAACTTTTTCTCCAAAACTTAACAATTTGAAGGTTAAAATCTAAGTCGAATATTATTGCAACCTTTGCAATAATTATTAAAGTTTCATTTGACAACAAAATTTGAACATTTTCTCCAAAACTTAACAATTTGAAGGTTAAAATCTAAGTCGAATATTATTGCAACCTTTGCAATAATTATTAAAGTTTCATTTGACAACAAAATTTGAACTTTTTGGCTCCAAATTCAACAATTTGAAGGTTAAAATCTAAATCAAATATTATTGCAACCTTTGCAATAATTATAAAAGTTTCATTTGACAACAAAATTTTAACTTTTTCTCCAAAACTTAACAATTTGAAGGTTAAAATCTAAGTCGAATATTATTGCAACCTTTGCAATAATTATTAAAGTTTCATTTGACAACAAAATTTGAACATTTTCTCCAAAACTTAACAATTTGAAGGTTAAAATCTAAGTCGAATATTATTGCAACCTTTGCAATAATTATTAAAGTTTCATTTGACAACAAAATTTGAACTCAACAATTTTCAGGTTAAAATCTAAGTCGAATATTATTGCAACCTTTGCAATAATTATTAAAGTGGCTCCAAAACTCAACAATTTGAAGGTTAAAATCTAAGTCGAATATTATTGCAACCTTTGCAATAATTATTAAAGTTTCATGTGACAACAAAATTTGAACATTTTCTCCAAAACTTAACAATTTGAAGGTTAAAATCTAAGTCGAATATTATTGCAACCTTTGCAATAATTATTAAAGTTTCATTTGACAATAAAATTTGAACTTTTTGGCTCCAAAACTCAACAATTTGAAGGTTAAAATCTAACTCGAATATTATTGCAACCTTTGCAATAATTATTAAAGTGTCATTTGACAACAAAATTTGAACTCAACAATTTTCAGGTTAAAATCTAAGTCGAATATTATTGCAACCTTTGCAATAATTATTAAAGTTTCATTTGACAACAAAATTTGAACATTTTGGCTCCAAAACTCAACAATTTGAAGGTTAGAATCTAAGTCGAATATTATTGCAACCTTTGCAATAATTATTAAAGTTTTATTTGACAACAAAATTTGAACTTTTTGGCTCCAAAACTTAACAATTTGAAGGTTAGAATCTAAGTCGAATATTATTGCAACCTTTGCAATAATTATTAAAGTTTCATTTGACAACAAAATTTGAACTTTTTGCTCCAAAACTCAACAATTTGAAGGTTGGAATCTAAGTCGAATATTATTGCAACCTTTGCAATAATTATTAAAGTTTCATTTGACAACAAAATTTGAACATTTTGGCTCGAAAACTTAACAATTTGAAGGTTAGAATCTAAGTCGAATATTATTGCAACCTTTGCAATAATTATTAAAGTTTTATTTGACAACAAAATTTGAACTTTTTGGCTCCAAAACTTAACAATTTGAAGGTTAGAATCTAAGTCGAATATTATTGCAACCTTTGCAATAATTATTAAAGTTTCATTTGACAACAAAATTTGAACTTTTTGCTCCAAAACTCAACAATTTGAAGGTTGGAATCTAAGTCGAATATTATTGCAACCTTTGCAATAATTATTAAAGTTTCATTTGACAACAAAATTTGAACATTTTGGCTCCAAAACTCAACAATTTGAAGGTTAGAATCTAGGTCGAATATTATTGCAACCTTTGCAATAATTATTAAAGTTTCATTTGACAACAAAATTTAAACTTTTTGGCTCCAAAACTTAACAATTTGAAGGTTAGAATCTAAGTCGAATATTATTGCAACCTTTGCAATAATTATTAAAGTTTCATTTGACAACAAAATTTGAACTTTTTGGCTCCAAAACTCAACAATTTGAAGGTAAGAATCTAAGTCGAATATTATTGCAACCTTTGCAATAATTATTAAAGTTTCATTTGACAACAAAATTTGAACTTTTTGCTCCAAAACTCAACAATTTGAAGGTTGGAATCTAAGTCGAATATTATTGCAACCTTTGCAATAATTATTAAAGTTTCATTTGACAACAAAATTTGAACTTTTTGGCTCCAAAACTCAACAATTTGAAGGTTAGAATCTAAGTCGAATATTATTGCAACCTTTGCAATAATTATTAAAGTTTCATTTGACAACAAAATTTAAACTTTTTGGCTCCAAAACTTAACAATTTGAAGGTTAGAATCTAAGTCGAATATAATTGCAACCTTTGCAATAATTATTAAAGTTTCATTTGACAACAAAATTTGAACTTTTTGGCTCCAAAACTCAACAATTTGAAGGTAAGAATCTAAGTCGAATATTATTGCAACCTTTGCAATAAATATTAAAGTTTCATTTGACAACAAAATTTGAAGTTTTTGGCTCCAAAACTTAATAATTTGAAGGTTAAAATCTAAGTCGAATCAAGAAGTATGTAACGTTCAAACTGTCGTCTGTCTTCTGTCTTTTAAAAAAAAGTTCACGAAAAAAATTTGTTTACAAATTCACACCAAAAACATTTTTTTAAATTTTCCACCTTTTTAATGATTTACAAATGTCCAGATCTCTTTTGATAGCTAAGCAATACATAGTTTTTTTATTATAAAGTAACAAATCAATAGAAAACTGGTTTACAAGACTTTAAAATACAATCATAATTTGTGGAAATTTTCAAAATTAAATCAATCATACGAATAAAAGTAAATCTCTCTAAATCTGTAATTTAACCATCTTTTTAGAATAAAAAATTATCAAAAGAAAATAAATTATGAACGTGAGGGGGGGGGGGGGTGAGATGTAACATATTGTAACAAGGGGGGAGGGGGGTTGAAAAAATTGTTTTCTTGCGTAACGTAATAAGTGAACGGCCTCTATCCAAAGTTGTATGTAAACTTTACAATGCTTGTGAAATATATAGCAAGAAAAATTTAGCATGCTCTCATGAAGATGGTAATGAGCATGCTTTTTATACTCTTCTGATCACTTTCGATTATATAAAAAGTTACTTGCATACAAGTTATTTACAATTAGAGGATGATTGAGTATGCTTTAGAACAGTATGCTCAGTAGTGAAATCTTGAGAGTTTGTTAAAAAGTCTTATTCTGAAATGTACTCTTGATCACGAGCATGTTCTTTGTCTTTTAGTGCACTTACTTTATTTTTTATTAAAAAAAATTAAATTAAAGATACAAAAAAAATATACGTATGAAAAATAATTGAATCTGATTTTTGACCAATTCTTAACCAATTTTCTTAAGTTTCAATTCTTAATATTTGGTTTAAAATAGATCAATAAAATGCTAACAACAGAAAACGTGGATTATAAAAAGTTAATTTTAGAAATATATAAGTTACCATTCCTTCATACTTGCTATCCTTTTTACGATCTTGTACTTCCTTTAAAGGATTCACTAATAACATGCTGTAATCTATTACATTTTTAAATAGTGCAGTAAAGTCCAGAGGAACAAAATGAAATTAATTATTTGTGTTTTGTTTGCCAATTTATTTTTATTAAGTTATTCAAAAGCTCAAGATGAAACTCCCCAAAATATTAATAAACTTCTGAATAATCAAGTTGTTGTAAGCAGGTAAATTTACAAAGTAATTAATTTTTTTACATAATTTATTTTATTTCTTATTTTTTTCAATTTGGCAGACAGATAATGTGCGTCTTAGACAAAGGTCCTTGTGATAAGCTAGGACAGCAGCTTAAAGGTAGTAAACTTTAAAAAACCATTTAATTTTTTTTAAAACAATAATAAAAAAACGTATACTTATGTCAATTTAGCTAGTTTGCCAGAAGTGATTTCACGAAACTGTAAAAATTGTACCAAGCAGCAAGCTCAAAATGCTCAAAAACTAATAAGTTTTCTTCAATCACGCTATCCAGACGTTTGGGGAATGCTGTATAGAAAATATAAACAAGAACAGAAGAAATAATTCTATGCATAAGAAAATATATCAATTTTAGCCATAATTAATCTTACATTCATAATAACTAATGACCATCTGCTTTGTTAGTATTATTGGAAAATAAAATCATTACACTCTGCTAATAGATTATATCAAAAATATACAATAAATTTACTAAAACAATTACTAAACTGTTTTATTTTAATTTTAAAATACATGACAATTTCCTATTTTTATTACACGCTTTTTACACGCTTTTTATTGAGTTTGCTCTGTTGGTCACGTTCAAATCTTGCAATCAATTTTTCGACCAATTCTCCTTCTCCAATCGAGCTCAAATTTTTTAAACACACGTATTCCCGATGTCAATACAACATTTTACCACTTTTAAACCACACAAATGCTTAATTATAGTACAATTTAAATAAAACTTTTTTATATGGGAAAAAAATTCAATGTCAATGATATAAAATTTTAATTTGTTAAAAATATTATACTTGAAATGCTCAAAAGTCATTTTCACGATTCATTATAGTTTGATTAATATTACTAATTCTTAATTGGGCCCCGACGAAAAAAAAATTATTCGTGAGTGACGCTTTAAAATCTTAAATATCTCCGAAACCACAATAGTGACAAATTTTGCCATAACTTTGTCAGTTTTCATTGATATATCTTCAAATGTATTTTTTTAGATCAGAAATTTTATTCTCTTTTGTTTGGTTTCAAAAAAGTCATAAATTGCCCCCGAAACATACTTAAATGAACAAAATTAAGCTAAAAAATTTTTAACGGTTTTAAATTTTTTGAATTTTTTTTTTGTCATGAGATGTTTGTTTACAAACAAAAATTGAAATGAAATTTAAAAAATCATGAAAATATCACTCAATAGTGATGTTAAAGCTCTTAAAATAGGCAGAATAGCTAATGTATTATCTACTTTTCGTAATCATATCATAATATTTGGGAATAATTATTGAATAATTAAGATATTTGAGAATTTAATTTTTTCATGAATATTCGTAAGTGAAAATTTGAATTTTCAAAAAATCCGTTAAACACAAGTCCGTTACGAATTAATGCAAAATAACTATTAATATGAGATGTACATTTAGCACGCATAGTTTGAGCATAAATTTATGCTGTTTTTAATGTTTTACATTATTTATAACAATTGCATAACATATAAATGACATTTATTGAATTTAAATTTGAATAATCCATTATGAATACGTTACATATAGATGTGATTTGCATCTTTATGTAAGGAATCCACACGTTATGTGTGGAATGGTACAGATAAACACAAAATCTCTAAGATTGATTTTTAATGTACTTTACTAATGAATGCTATAAAAAACAGAGAAAGCGCACATAATTGAAGTTCAGGACATTTTTTAAAGAGTTTAATGTGTTTCTAGGTATGACTTAAATTATATAAAACGAATGAAAAATTATGATAGTCGTTACTAATTACCCATTAAAAACTATGAATCTATAAACAGTTAAACGTAACGAAGTGCAACGAAGTGGAGTTCAACACACCTGTAACCTATAAACCTACTTTAATCTATAAATGGAAAAAAGTGCCAAATAGATCATCGAATATTATGAACGTGCGGAGCTACAGACATACTCGATTAGACATTTAACAATGCTTCAGTTGAGAACAAGTTAGCGGATCTGGATCAGGAGCAAGTCACATGGCAAAAGTGTCATAACGCTATGAAGAGCGCTGCTGAAGAGTGTCTTGGGTTCTCTCAACCTCGAAAGAAAGAATGGTTTGTTGAGGAATGTAAGGAAGAGGTTCAACGTATTATTGATGCATGTAAGAGAAGGATAACGAGAGCACGTGAGGAAGAAATTAGAAAGCTACAACGTGACAAAAAAATGCTTTTGCGAAGAAAAAAAAGATAGTATGACAAGAGGTGCCTTGAGGAAATTGAGGAATTTCATTCATTGAATGAGTCTAGGAAGTATTTCAATGCAGTCAAGCTGCCTCGTAAGAAATCTTATCCACGTGTGGCCATCTGCAAGTCGAAGGATGTCGAGCTATTATGCAGTCAGAGTAGAGTTCTTGAAAGATGGAAAGAGTATTTCAAAGAAGCGTTAAATGTCGGCGTAGCTGGAAGCACAATTGGAGAAACTAGATTGTACATGAAGAATGATGGAAAGGATTTTCCAGAACCTACACTGAAAGAAGTCTGTGAAGCAATTGGCAGGCTGAAGAACAACAAAGCGCCAGGAGAAGATGGTCTCCCATCGGAGATGTTTAAGACTAGATGTAAACAATTGGAATCAGCTATCCATTCAATCATAGTACGCATCTGGAAAGAAGAGAAGTTGCCAGAGGAATGGACTGTAGGCGTCATCTGCCATGTAGCAACTTCAGAGGCATTACACTTTTAAACTCCGCGTACAAAATCTTTTCAATGATTCTTTCGGCTAGGCTAGAACCACTCTACGAAGATTTTCTACACGAATTTCAAGCAGGCATTAGAAGAGGCCGATCGACGATTGATCAAATTTACTGCATCAGACAAATCATTTATAAGAGCGATGACAAGAACATAGAAACCCTGCACTTGCTCATCGATTTCAAAGCAGCTTATGATTCCATAAGCCGGGAACAACTGTGGAGCCTTATGTCTGAATTTGGCTTTCCACACAAAATGATTCGTTTGTTAAGAGCAACTTTAAGCAAAGTTTTCAGTTGTGTTAAAGTGCAACGTCTCTTATCAGATCGATTTGAGACAGTGACGGGCCTTAAGCAGGGTGATGAATTGTCGACGAAGTAATTTAACATCGCATTGGAAGGAGTGTGTAAGAAGGCTAAGCTACAACTAAGTTACTAGCATATGCGGATGACATCGACATTGTTGGTCGGAATTTCCGAGCTGTCACAGACACTTACACCAAACTTGAACGGGAAGCACTTAGATTGGGACTGCAAGTGAACGAGGAAAAAACCAAGCTTCTTATGGTAGCTGCTTCCGCAAGAACTAAGCAGCTCATAGGCAGTCACTTGTGCGTGAATGGAAAGCGTTTCGAGGTAGTCGAGGAATTCAATTACCTTGGATCCTTGGTGAACTCGACCTCGGATGCAAGTTTGGAAGTGAGGAAGCGGATACAGTCGGGATATGGTGCATTCTACAGCCTTAAGCACCTATTAACATCCAAAAGTTTATCAAGAGGCACGAAGAAAAATTTATATAAGACGTTGATCAGAGTGATTGTGTTATATGGATCTGACACCTGGAATACAACGGTTACGGATGAAGAATCTCTCCGTGTCTTTGAAAGGCGAGTGCTGAGAATGATTTGTGGCCCTATAAAAGATGGGGAGGAATACAGAAGTCGGCATAATGAGGAACTATATGAGCTGTACCAGGAGGCTGATATAGTGAAGGTGCTGCGAATAAATCGGTTGAGATGGGCTGGCCATGTTAACAGACGCCCAGAAGGCTCATCAGTGCTGAAAGTAACAATAGCTGAATTTTTGGATGGTAAGAGATCTCGAGATTGACCGAAGAACTCATGGAATGGCTGTGTAAGCAACGATGCAAATGTGCTAGAAATTAGAAACTAGCAGAAGTTGTGTAAGGATAGAGTCAGCTTTAGACGAACTCTGAATGCGACAATGGGACCACGTGCGCCTTAGCCAAGGAAGTAAGTAAGTAATCTATAAATAGTTGAACGTAACGGAGTGAAACGAAGTGGAGTTGAATTTGAATTGTTGTGGTCGAAATTCGATAAAAACATTGAGACTAATCTAATGAAATTTAAGCTCTCCAAGTATACTTACAATATTAATGAATGCGCCCACGTTTTAAGATGTAGAACTATACGATATGGTTGAAGTGAATAAATTTGCAATTCATGTATGGTCATGACTTTAGTATGAAACTTTAAAATCAATCTCAATTTTTCAAACCAATATCTTTTGAACCCAATAAAAAAAGTTATTTTCTACTTTTCAGTCCACGGGTAAAAACGTGGTTTTTTAAAAAGTTTTTTTTATGAAATATTTTTATTTGCTACTTTTTAGTTTTAAAAAATTATTTAAAGTATCCATCGATCAGCTGTGCTGTCGCACAGCATAAGTTTGTAAACTAGAATTTAACCATAGAAAGTCGTATAGCGTATTTTTTGTGATTCAAACTGATAACGGCTTTTTGAAATTTATAATAATTGAAAGTTGTACATATGTTATGTAAAAATAAGCTAAGCCTTAAAGAGGAGAAAATTTAATTTAATTATGCTATAATTAAGCATTTTTGAGTTTGCAAAATGCTTGAATATTGTATTGTCATCGGAGAGATAAGTGCATGCAAAATTGTAGCTCGATTGGAGGTGGGGTTTGAAAAATTGTAACCAAATGTAACATAGGGGTTGGGGAGGGGGGGGGGGGGGGTGTCAAGAAGTATGTAACGTTCTAATTGTCGTCTGTCTTTTAAAAAAAAGTTCACGAAAAAAATTTGTTTACAAATTCACACCAAAAACATTTTTTTAAATTTTCCACCTTTTTAATGATTTATGAATGTCCAGATCACTTTTGATAGCTAAGCAATACATAGTTTTTGTCATATAAAGTAACAAATCAATAGAAAACTGAATTACAAGACTTTAAAATACAATCATAATTTGTGGCAATTTTCAAAATTAAATCAATCATAAGTTTAAAAGTAAATCTCTCTAAATCTGTCATTCATATGATGATTAATATGATCCCATCATTGTGATATTTACATTCAAAGTTGATTGAATTTTTCAAAATTCGATCTGGCATAATATTTTTCATGACATTTTTGAATTTTCTTCAAAAAAAACAAATTTTTGCTTTATATCACAATCCAATAATTCATGAGAATACTAATAGTATCAATCAAAACATGACGTATTTAGCTGTACAGTATTTTGATGTTTAAGAAAAAAAAAATACAAAAGAAATTTAACCGTCTTTTTGAAATAAAAAATTATCAAAATAAAATAAATTATGAACGTTTAGGGGGGGGGGGTGATTTGTAACATATTGTAACAAGGGGGGGAGGGGGGTGAAAAAAAATCGTTTTCTTGCGTAACGTAAATAGTGAACGGCCCCTTAGCGAATCAGGATTTTAAAATTTTCTTGTGACATCTAGAAATGTAACATAAATTTTTTCAAAATATTGTGATTAAGTCCAAGAACACAATGACTCTAAAAGCGTGGGGTTTTGAGATTTGACGCTTCTCTTACTTAAGAACTTAGCTGAACTATGAAATTCATCCTTAAATTACACCCCACGCTTTTAGAGTCATTGTCTTCTTGGACTTAATCACAATATTTTGAAAAAAATTTATGTTACATTTCTAGATGTCACAAGAAAATTTTAAAATCCTGATTCGCTAAAAGTGTGATCTTATTTTATTTTCAACTTTTTGGTTTTTAGTCTTTTTGATAAAAGCGTGTTTTTTAACGTTTTTTCTTCTTCTTTCTTTATCATTTTTAAATAATTTTTCAATAGTAAGGAATAGAATCGTTAGCAAAAAATGCATGACAGGCTTACATCTAAGGCTTAATTGTTTAAAAGGGAAAGAAAAAAGTTTATAAAACTTTGCTAGGTATTAGCAAGCACTTTAATTCAATCTTTATTATCATCCAGCTGTATCTTTTTCAAATATTTTTTTCTTTTGTGCATCAGTTACTTCGTTGGATGTTTTTATGAGGAACAGAAAAATTCCACCGGAGGTTCGTCGACGGTGTTTATTGAATGTTAATAAACCTCCATTTCGTTCAATTTTTTGTGTTTTCTTGTAGAACTTTACACATTCATCTTGTCCAACAGTAGAAATAACCTTTTGAACTAGTTCTATATTCTGTTCATCTAGTTTAAATGCAATATCTGCTGCCAAATCTACATCCTTGACATCATCTGTTAGATCAGGCAAATGTTTAGACTGTCTATCTTTGCTGACTCTTATTTTTTTTCTCTCCGAACAATGAGCTGATAAATTTTCCTGGGAATTTGGTCTAAAATAAATGGTTTTAAACGGTTTAATTAATGATTTGGTGAAGATAATATTTATATTACTGTTTATCAAATTCACTGCAATCATAACTTTCGGCACCACGATCAACTTTTCTTTTCCTGATATTTTTAGCAACTTCGCAAGTCTTCATATCTTCCATAAGGCTCTCTTCTTCAAGCATTTGCTTCCAAAGTGCACCATTTTTATTTTCCTTCCTATATTGATTAATAATTCAGTAATAATTTAAACAAATTTCATTACTTTATCATCTACTTTGTTTCTGTCCTTTTTGGTAAGATTATAATTTCTCCATCTGATTCATCTGAACTGCCACTCATTATCTTGCTGATCTGGTAACCAAACTTACTTTCAGATCTTTTAATAACTTTATGAACTTATGACTTTTTTTTGCAATGTTTTGATGGATTATATATAATGCTCAATTTATAAATTACGTCTCATACGGGGTGGGTAAATCAAAACACCAAAAATTCATACCGTTTTTTTTCGTTATAAGCTAGTAGCTTAGAAGAATAAAAAAGTGATTTTTTTGGCTTAGTAACGATTGGTAGCTTAGTAAAGAAATTAAACTTCAATGAAAATTTGGAATTATTTAACTTAATTAAAGAAATTTTGCTATCTTCTCGATTTTATTTCATTGACAATGTCATAAGGCATTGAAACTGATACTTAGAAAGTTGAAAAAGATTAATTATACTTTATTTTTGGTAGAAGCTTAGTAAAGACTACAAAAAAATTTCAAGTTCAAAAAAACTTTACTAAGCTAGTAGCTTAGTAACGAGCAGTAGCTTATAATGAAAAAACAGGGTAAGTAAAATATTTGACATTAAAGCTATTCTACATATTACAGAAGCTTAAACATCACTATTAAGTGTGTTTTCATGACTTTTTAAATTTAATTTTTATTTGTGTTTGTCAGTGTTTGTAAACAAACAAATTACAACCGAAAAAAAACCGCTAAAATATTTAAAATTTGTTATAAACTCAATCAAAACAGAACCAAATTTCTGACTTTTGAAGCACATTTGGGCAATTTCACGGATTGATATTTTCAAAAATTTCGTCTTTAAATTGAATTTTCTTTTAATTAAGGAGCTTTGCAGATCCATTTTTTGCACAAACCTTTGTAAAACGAAGAGCTCTTTCATTCTGTATAACTCATGCATCTTGTCATGCCTTAATTAATGAAATATGTGGATTTTTTTCAGCGTTGGTACATTACGAAGATATATCAAATTTTCCAAAAATTCTACGTGTCACTCACGCTGAATTGTTTTTTCGACGAGCCCCAATAAGTCCGTTAATTTAAAAACATAATTTTTAAAGCAATTTTTTTCGCATTGTTGTTTACCCCCTGTGTTCGAAAGTAGAAAACTTTTTTCAAGACAACTCTGATAGTTTGGGATTAATAATTCATTAAATTGAGTCTTTGAAAGTGTTAAAGATTAAAAATAGTCTTAATAGAAGCATCATAAGGATAGTGAGTGGTAAGTTTGTAAAAATCTATTTATTAAGAATATTTAAAGCATTAATAATGAACCGGCAAACATGCTGTTAATATTTTCTAATGTCGGCCATATTTGATCATCAACCTATACATACCATTTTTTTTTTTATTTCCAATTATCAGATATACTAATTTTTTGAATAATTAAACTCTTTAAAAGATGGTTGGATCAAGAGTATATGTTGGAGGACTACCTTACGGAACTCGAGAGAGAGATTTGGAGAAATTCTTCAAAGGTTATGGAAGAACGCGAGATATATTAATTAAAAATGGATATGGTTTTGTTGAGTTTGAGGATTATCGTGATGCGGATGATGCTGTTTATGAACTAAATGGGAAAGAGTTGCTTGGAGAAAGGTAAGACTAGATTTGATGTTGAAGACATGGTAGTATTTATCATAACTCATACATAGGGTGGTTGTTGAGCCAGCAAGAGGAACTGCTAGAGGTGGAAGTCATCGTGATAGATATGATGACAGATATGGACGAAGAGGAGGGGGACGTTATGAAAGGTAATAAATATATTTTAAAAAATATTAAACATTTTTAATTAATTCTACATACCACAGATTTAATAACAGCTCAAGAAGTAATTCGCGTTATGGGCCACCATTACGCACGGAATATCGGTTGATTGTTGAAAATTTGTCATCAAGAGTAAGCTGGCAGGTATGAAAAAATTTGAATTTTTAATATTTGCATGCTTAAAAACTATTATTGACAGTATTGGAAATTTAATTTATTTTCGATGCTATCATACTTTATTTAAAAAAAAAATCAAAACAAAATGAGAAAAATTAAGAAAATATTATAGTCATTGCAATAATTCTTGATACATTCGTGGATTCTTCAGTTTCAGAATTTAAAAAACTGATTTAATACTCGAATGTTTCAAGTTAAAAACAATTGTAATTTTGCCTATTTTATTTTAACATAATACAATGTTTGATACTTTCAATGCAAATCATTTGCTATTGTACTATGTTTTGATGTAAAAAAATTAATTAATACCTAATTTTATAAATCTGTAAAGATTTTTTTTTAAAAAAGTTAAAATGACATAAAAATTTTTGAGCTGATATGATCATGAATACAATAAGTAAACAATTTGTTATTATTCATATGTTTTTTCTAAGTGAGCCTCCCAAAATGTGAGTGTGAGAGACGAACTGAATTGGGAACGATTACTCTGAATATGGTCCTTATATGTTAAAAAGGCAATGAAGTGTGCATACGAGAGGCTGACGAAAACGTGGCGATTAGCGTGCCTAAGAAACTGAGTTAAATTAGAAAAAAAAACCTTTAAAGTTATTTTTTAAGTCTAATACAAATAGTGGACGAAAAATTACATGATGCTTACGAAGACGCAGCCAATTTAATACTAAAAGTGGTCGTTTGAGAGATGTTAATTTTCATGCCTACGATTACTTTTGACCTGATGACCGTAATCAACCTGAAAGTTAAATCCAGTGATGTTTGGTTGATGCATTCGCACGGAGCGTTCGGTTTTAGAACTACTCGTTTAAATGTTGGGTTTAAGGCAATTTTTAATTAGTGAAAAAATTCTAAAGACGAAGGTGTATAAACAAAAAAGTAATTTTTAGTATGTTAAATATTAAATCAAAATTATTTGATTCTCTCTTTTTTATAACTGCTTTAGTATCCATTATTATTTTATTTCATGATAATTATCAATAGGTAAAAAATCTATTTTTTGTGGCTAACGAACATAAGATATCAAAAATAGCTTAACTTTGTCAATTTACTAAAGTCTAACGGCCTGTTTCACTAAAGTGGATTATCCTCAATTTCGGATTATTCACTTTAGTTTTTCGGAAATATCTCCAGACGTTAAGGTTAGTTATTAAGAGATCTAAAGTGTGATCTCATTAAAGTACTTTGCTACTTAAATTAATATATACTAAGAATTTTTATATCTTCATTAGTTTGAGAATTATAGCAAAAATTAAAGTTAATCTTCTAGATTTGGCTAGAAAATTGAATAATTAATACTTCTTAATGAAAAGTAAAAGTTTAAAGTGTACAGAAATTTCAGGCTTCACTCTTTTATAATCCAAAATTAGAAATACCACACCTCCCATAAAGTTTAAGATATTTACAAAAAACTGAAATGGATAATCCGAAATCGAGGATAATCCACTTTAGTGAAACAGGCCGTAAGTGTCTGACAAGTCACTTTGACTAAGTTTTATGGCAAAAAATTTTCTTGGGAAAAACACAATTTTTGCGGTGTTGTGAAACTGTAATTATTCATATAATTCTTTAGTTTTATTTTACCAATTTGCTATGGGAAATTTTGAACCATTTAAGAACCATGACACGATTAGCAAATAAAATTTCTTGGTAATTAAAGATTAGTTTAATTTTGTAAAACCCTGAATAAAATTTCCTTAACTTTATAATTTGCACCAATTAATAGTAATTTACATTTTAAATTAAATTGAATTTATGACATAAACAAATTCAACCGTCATATTTCTTTTTGAGCTCTTGCAAAAAACAAAACGATTAATTAATTAAGTTTTTGGACGAGAGTTTATTGAAAAATTAATATATTAATAACTTTATTTATAAATCTAAGCTTCTAAGATGTTTGAGAATACATTTTATTAAATAAGAAAGTTTCAGTAAAAAGTTATGAGCATCTGAGTACAAGAATATCACAAAAAATAGATTTTTTTATCCTACTGTTTTTAATTTTGTATTTTCCCCCTTAACTCATAATTAATTTCTTGTCCTATCAACTTACTTATCAATGAAAAAAAAAAATAGACGAGACACGCGTAATATTCCGTAGACTGAAAGAGGTTTTTATCGCGTTAACTATAAATAGGTCACCCGATATTGTTTTTTGTAACGACTTTCAACTTGGTCTCTCTTTGTGCAATTCCATATCACAAAAAATAAGATGATTAACGATGGTAATTCAAGGCAAGGAAAAATTGCATTTTGCATCATGAGTTCATCGCAATATTTCAATTTCAATAAAAATTAAAAAGAAACAAAGCTATATTATTCATAAAATACCAAATCATAAGAAAAAATATGAATACTTATAGCTAAAAGCTAATTCAATCATTTTTCCTAAAATTTTTGTGTTATTAACTTTTATTTCTTACCATTGTCTTTATTAGGATCTCAAGGATTATATGCGACAAGCTGGAGAAGTAACATATGCTGGTATGTATAAATATACACTTGTTTGAAAAAGACTCAATAGCAAGTAAAATGTTAAAATCTATGTTTTCTTATCAGACGCACACAAGCAAAATAGAAATGAAGGGTAAGTACGATTTTATTCGTTTATCTTTAGTCCTTGAATAAACTTTTAATAACATATTTTCTTCTTTCTTTCCTTTTTCAGTGTCGTCGAATTTGCTACTTTGAAGGATATGAAAACAGCTATTGAAAAATTGGATGATACAGAATTAAATGGACGTCGTATTCGCTTAGTTGAAGACACTCGTCGTAATGGACGTAGAGGACGCTCTCGTTCTTCAACAACCAGCAGATCACGCTCTCGTTCAAGACGTCGTTCAAGGTATGGTTTTAAAATAAACACCTTGAATCTTATTCTCATTCTTATTAATTCTAAAGATCACGTTCAAGACGATCATCACGCAGATCTAGAGAAAGTCGTTCAAAGTCTCGTGGTAGTCGCTCAAAATCCCCTGCTGAAAAAAAGAGTCGTTCACGTTCGCGTTTTTCTGAAAAATCGCACTCTAGAAGTCGTGATTCAGCACGCAGTGTAAGCAAGGAATCAAATCAATCAAATCGCGACAGAAACAGAAGTGGCAGTAATATTTCAGACAAAGGAAAATCCCGCTCGCGGTAAGATGCACGATGATTATTCTCTTAAATGTTTGTTTATCCTTTTTTTTTCTTTGGGTCCTTTAGTGATCGTTCTCGATCAGAAGAAAAAAATGACCGTTCAAGATCAGGATCAGCAAATAATCATTCTCCAGATCGAAATGAAAGCATGGAAGATTAAAGCTTACATTAAAATTTTTAAGAAGTAACATGTCGACTTTAAGAAATTATTCAATAGCAGTATAATAATATAATATAAAAACCTTTTCAATTAACTTGGTAAAAAAAATTGTGTAATAACTTTTTAAAGTTATGATTTTTGATGCATTGATATTTTCTTTATTTCTATTTTGTATTTTTTCCTTTTTTTTTCAAAAATTATCTACATTTGAGAACTTATATATACATTTTAATTAAAAATAAAAGAGAAAATGATCCTTGAAAATTTCATTACTTGATAAAAAAAAAATAAGCTTAATAAATGTGTTTACTAAAATTAATAAGAAAAGTTGTATTAGTTATTCTAGAAATTTTTGATTTGTGATTAATAGGAAATTTGAACAAGATTGAAACAAAACACGCAGTAATATCTCGGTTGATTTTTAGCGCATTTTTCGAAAATGTGGCTTAATTAGTCACTTTGTCTGCTCGCTCGGGGCATATCAAAAACTTTCTAAACAGATATTGTAGAGAGCTCGCGTTTGTTTCATTAGCTTAGTTTCAAGTTATTGGTCAACTACATCAATATTTTTGGAGGAAATTTCCACTGAAAACGTGGAATCTTTCCTGATGACAAAAAAAAACATGGTCAAGAATTGTTTCTATGAAGCTACATACTTCAAAAAATTACAGAAGTCCTCGTTTTATTGATCGAGGGACTTAAGCGCATTTTTGTGTTGGCTCGGTAATTTATCGGTTTTTTGAGATTTAAAATTATTCAACGGTAGAAATAAATTCGAATTTCTAAACGCTCTCATCGCGTGTTTTTTCATATGAAATATAAAAATCATTAATTATAGTACAAAAACACTGTTTCAAGACTTTTAAATGCGTTTCTCGAAAATAAAACAATGGACCTGAGCTAATAAAACAAACTAGAACTCTCTACAATGTCTAGTTAAAAAGTTTTTCTTCGCCCGAACGAACGAACAAAGCGACATATTAAGCTACCTTTTCGAAACAAGTTTCAAAAATGCGTTAAAAAACGGGTAAAAAATTTAAAGGTATATCACTGTATCAGGTTTGAAGAGAACTACATATAGTCGAGATTTGATTGATAGAAAAAGCGTGTAAAAAATAGTTTGAAGCACTAACACTAATAACGTACAAAATATGTGCCAGAGTTGCGATCCAGAGTTGCAATTAGGGACTGCCTGTGACAGATCTGTCACCTGTCCTTGTTGATAGGCGACTTGTTTTGCAGATCTGATTTGTATATAATGCATAATATTGTATCAAAACGTTTCAATGGGTAAGTTAATTCTTTATTTTGCTACTTTATTTGCATTAACTCGTAAGTCAAAACCTGATCGCTACGACTAAAATGTGTTGAAGTCACTCGATCAAGCTCGAGGTCTTTTTAACTCTTACTCTGTTTTTTCGTTTTAAACTATTACTCCTTACTTAGCTACTCGCTTAATAAAGATATTTTCAATTTTGAATAATTGAATTAATCATTTTCTGAACTTTATGGAGCAATTACACCTGGTGTAATCTAATAAGCTACTCCTGGTGTTGAAAATGTAAAATTTACATGCCTTTTTCAAAATTTGACTGCTCATAAGCTCCTAGCTTAAGTTAAGGGTCGTTTATATTGTTCTTTTCTTGCTGAACACCCCTTCCCCCCCCCCCCCCCGCCTGGACTCATAAGTGAACAGCCCCTTATAACGAAAAAAAACAGGGTACGTTTTCATATCATTGACCTTGAGATTCACTCGAATTATACTCGTTATACATCTTAACATATATCGTGGTTCCTATTGTACTATACATGTACAACTTCAAGCTTTATGAATCATTCTACATTGAAAAGAATGAAAAAAAAATATACTTGATTAAAAACATTCTAAAACTTCCTGAAAAGTCCTATAAAATATATAACTCTTATGTCGGTTGATTTTTTTCTCTCATTTTCGTATCGAGTTCCTTGAACTTGTATGTTATTTTTGATAATTTACATATGTATTCAAAAAAATCTACGACGACTTTATTAAGGTTCATACAATAATAAGTTTTCGTGTGATGCAGTTCTATATTATATATAAACCGAGTATAGAGAAAAGTGACAAGGTCACAAACCTTAGAATATACATGTAGAAGTATATTAATAACTGAAATAATGTGGACTAGCTAAATGAACTAACACGTAATTCTGGGATATATTTAAGTATACAAGGAAGTAGAATTAATTCATGCATGCATTTACATTTACTTAAACATAAGTCCATCTTCAACATGCACTTTTAAAGTACAAAACAATTACAAATTGTCATTTTCTTGGATTTTTACTTTTGAGACGAACGAGGTTGGTGAACTTTTCGTTAGTAGCGAGGTCATGGATCGCTTTTATAGCGTTTTTTTTTTCTTCATCGATTTTTTCCGTGTAAATATGTGTTTGCTGTGCTATTATATATTGCTTGAAACGTTAGTTTTATAATTCTAAAAAGCAGAAATTTACTAATGCCTGTGGAATTTATTTGGGGTTTGTTTTCAACGTTAAAAGTAAAATATATTTAAAATAAAACTAATGATTTTTAATTTTTTTTTATTATTAAAAATTTTTTATAATAGCATACAAAAACTTTAAAACTTATTCTAATACTATTCTATCATATCTATCTGTGGATGCTAATATTAATGTTTACTCGGAGTTCATTTACTAATAACATCCTTATGAACATTCAATAGTATAATACCGTATAATTATTTTTTAATAATCATGAAAAATTTCTGGCAGTTTTGAGATGTTTTACTTATTCACATGATGCTCAAACAAGCTCCCTTCTGTAAATTTTTACGTACCTAATGTGATGTCAATTCCATTTTTCGTCCTCAATTGAGAACTTTTAATTTTGTTTGAAAATTATTTTTAATGTTAGATGAATTACTTATGAGCATTTAAATACTACAAAATGTATTCAAAAAGTTTTATGCAATTAACATTTTATACAATATCCTAATTATATTTTCAGACATAAAAGCGGGATTAGACAGAAGTGGAAAAAAGCTTAAATTTGAGGAGTTGTTTGGCATCAAACGAACATACAGACAAAATGTGGACATTAGCGTAATTTCCTGAAAGGAAAATGCGTTTAAACAGTTAAATAAATCCTTACACAAAGCCATGACACAGCTCTGGCTAATAATAATACAACTCGTCGCTAAAAAGCGAACGTCCATATACTAATTTTTTTGAATTCAAACTAGGGGCCGTTCACTTATTACGTTAGGCAAAAAAACGACTTTTTTCACCCCCCTCCACCCCTTGTTACAATATGTTACATCTCACCACCCCCCCCCCCCCCCCCCCCTCCTGAACGTTCATAATTTATTTTATTTTGATAATTTTTTATTCTAAAAAGACGGTTAAATTTCTTTTGTATTTTTTTTTTTCTTAAACATCAAAATACTGTACAGCTAAATACGTCATGTTTTGATTGATACTATTAGTATTCTCATGAATTATTGGATTGAAATATAAAGCAAAAATTTGTTTTTTTTTTTTTGAAGAAAATTCAAAAATATTATGCCCGATCGAATTTTGGAAAATTCAATCAACATTGAATGTAAATATCACAATTATGGGATCATATTAATCATCATATGAATGACAGATTTAGAGAGATTTACTTTCAAACTTATGATTGATTTAATTTTAAAAATTTCCACAAATTATGATTGTATTTTAAAGTCTTGTAATTCAGTTTTCTATTGATTTGTTACTTTATATGACAAAAACTATGTATTGCTTAGCTATCAAAAGTGATCTGGACATTTGTAAATCATTAAAAAGGTGGAAAATTTAAAAAAATGTTTTTGGTGTGAATTTGTAAACAAATTTTTTTCGTGAACTTTTTTTTAAAAGACATACGACAATTAGAACGTTACATACTTCTTGACACCCCCCCCCCTCCCCCACCCCTATGTTACATTTGGTTACAATTTTTCAAATCCCCCCTCCCCCCTAAAATGCGAACGTAATAAGTGAACGGCCCCCTAGTGTATCGGGTAAAAACCCAATAACAGTAAACTTTGTTGTTTTTTTTTCGAATTCGTAAGAAAGGAAGTTTTTTTGCTTTTTCTGAGACAACGACTATTCCTACCTTGTCAAAAAAACAACATAGTTCTTTTATAAAGCAACACGAATCTAATGCAAAAAACTAGAAGTCTGTACGATGTCTCGTTATAAAAGATAATTATTTGAAATTCCCAAAAAGTCATATAAAACTATTATTTCGTGATTACTTTACCTAACTTACAGTGGGGGAAATAATTATAGGCGAATTTTGAAAAAATTGTAAAATTTTACTTCAAACTTGAAATTCACTTGAGTTTTCAATTGATTAAGTTATTTAAACATTGTATCAATCTAATTTGACATAATACGCACAATATTTAATGATTTAAATATATAAAATTTGGTCTTGAAATTATCAAGGAATAAGATTGCAAAAATCAATGTTTTACGCCAATTTGGCAATAATACCTCCTCGATTGCATATGAAATTAATAGATTTTATTGCAATTAACGTAGCATAATAAAAATTTGGTGAAATTATAGTCAGAAAAAGTAAAAATAAAGAAAATTTTTGATCACATGGCCAATACAAAATAAGAAATTTTTAAAATTTTCTCTCAAATGAAAGTTTTGGCTACAAACTAAGGATGATTTCTACTTGTTTTTATCATATCATATCTATGTTTTAAAGAAGATATTTAAAAGATATATTTGCAAAAAATTGAATTCAAGCTTTTTAATTCTTGTTAAAATGATCCTAATAACACTCAAAACTATCAGTAATTACATAAGGGACTGTTCACTTATTACGTAACGCGAAAAAATGACTTCTTAGACCCCCCCCCCCTCGTAACAAAATTTGTATGAAAAAAAAATTTCCTTGTTTGAACCGTAACAAAATCTTAGACCCCCCCTCCCCCTAAAAGCGTTACGTAATAAGTGAATGGCCCCTAATTTGTCTATTATCTTCATCTCTTTGCATCATTTACTTGCGGATTCTATAACTTTTTTTAAACAAATTATGATTTCGCTTGGTCATGTGTTCCAGTTGACCAAAGTTTTTACAATTTTTGCAAATATATCTTGTTCAATCTTTTAAATATCTTCTTTAAAACATAGATATGATATGATAAAAACAAGTAGAAATCATCCTTAGTTTGTAGCCAAAACTTTCATTTGAGAGAAAATTTTAAAAATTTCTTATTTTGTATTGGCCATGTGATCAAAAATTTTCTTTATTTTTACTTTTTCTGACTATAACTTCACAAAATTTTTATTGAGCTACGTTAATTGCAATAAAATCTATTAATTTCATATGCAATCGAGGAGGTATTATTGCCAAATTGATTTTTTGCAATCTTATTCCTTGATAATTTCAAGACCAAATTTTATATATTTAAATCATTAAATATTGTGCGTATTATGTCAAATATGTCAAAAATGAGCGTTATTTTTTTTCTAGTTAATATAATTAAAAAAATTTTTTCTCTGAGATGTTCGTCATATTAAACTGCTCAAATTTCACATAGAACATATTTTCTGAAAATGTTTATATTTTCGAGAATTTTGAAAATATCAACTCGCCTATAATTATTTCCCCCACTATAGTAGTGGATATTTAGAAAAAGAAGTTTCTTTGAGGTGGCATGAATGATGTTTCAACGTTTGAATAGGGTATTGGTCTGTCACTTTCATACAAAATAAAATTTGTTAAATTTCACTAACCCATTGAAAAAATACATATCACATAATGAAGGTTTTATTTTAAAATTTTAAGAAAATGTTTCACTCATAAAAACCAAATAAAAATTTTAATCGCTGTTACTATAAGCTTAGATGTTTGTGCTATATGAAAACAAAAATATGAGTTGATAAAAAAAATAATTGCTTGCTCTGGACTTATTTTTTAAAGATATAATTTAATATTTGAATTTTAATAAAATTGTTTTCAAAAATTTTAAAATAAATCCACAATAAACGAGATTTGAAAATTTAAGTAAACTTAAACATATGCCAAATTGATAATTTATATGAAAGTTACTTTGACAGAACCTCATTTTTTGTATTGATTAAATAATTTATTCATGTTTTTATTGTAGTACTTTTGATTATACTTGATAATACATCTTTTATATGGTAGTAAGTAAAAAAAAATGTTACAGAACTCTTTGATATCTTTATAAAAGTAAAAATTGCATTTGAAAATTTTACCATCATTTTTCTCATCTTAATGTACATTCACAGCCTATTTTCGTTCTCCTGGAATATTCATATTATCATTTACTTTCGTTTCGGTTTTTTATTATTCCGTGTGCATCAACAACTTGAACCAGAATTAAATCATGTGGCAGAATTTATTATGAAAGTCTTTTTGTCAATAAACTTCTTTTATCACAAATTCAAAAGTGAAGTTTACAAATTAAAAAAATATGTGCTGTTCTATTTTAGATTCTTGCCTATCTCAAAAGTGCGATAGAATTTGAAAACTTTAGTATTACTATGACCACTCGTTTTAAGAATAGAATGAAATAGAACTCTTCCGAAATGCAAAATTAAGATAATAACAAATTAAATAATAAGTACAAAAATACAAATTTTTTTTTATTCAAATGGCATTTTCATTATGTACAAAACTGGTTCAAATTTACTGTATATATTGTATTGTAGAAAATAAAATAATAAACATACATATATTTTTTTTTAAATATTAGCAAGAAATATTTCTGAGATGCATGGTTTTACTTCAATCATGAAGCCATCAATTTTAATTTTTATCACGAATTTTTTTCATATTTTTTCTTGTTTGTTTGCAATAACGAGCTGCATTTTTACATTTTCCATATCTTTTTTAGATAATAATATCTTAACGTAAAAAAATCATTAAAATATACGATTGTTTATTTAGTTTAATTCTTAATTTGATTTTTACTTTTAATTTGTAAATTTGTTTTCTTATAATTATATTATAAAGTTTTGCGAAATGCCAAAATCGGATAACAAATCAGAACAGTCTGATATAAACTCGAGATGACTACTATTTATGTCAAAGTCTATCGGACCAATATCACAATTTTCCAATTGATAAGAAGTTGTTAATGTCTTATTACAATCACTTTGAGTTAAGTTATTATTTTGAGGAAACTCTGAGTCAATCATATTGAAATCTCCATAATTATGGTCAAATTTGTATGTGTACATTGCCAATTTTTGTTCACCTGATGATTCATCGTTATCATTTTGTTGAATAATTGATAACGGTTGAGCGCTGGTAGTTGTTGAAAAATTAAGATTTGAATCAACATTTATATAACTTTTACAATCTGTGGGATCGGATTCATTAAGATCATTCGCAAAAACTATTGGTGCATTCGTTATCATATTTGCATATTGTAAATTACTATTCTGTACATTATGTTGACTGTTGGTTGTCATAGTATCATTATCATCGAAAAACATGTTTGATGTGCTGAAATTTCTACTATTTTCATCTGAGCCAAGTTCATTCAAATCAGTAGTTGAGTTAAATAAGTCAGTTTCGTAAAATTCAACCTTAGTATTGTTTTGATCAACAAATGCATCATAAAGTGTTGCACTCTCGGGAGAATTGGGTAGAATGTCACTTGCTGAAAGAGAGTAACTAAGACTTCTTGGCGTTTGATGCTCTGAGTTTTTGTACTCACAATCAGATGCATCAAGACTTAAAGAGTTCTCAGTAAATCTACTTCGTGATTTCTTGTTTTTACGATCAATTGAATTGGATTTCATATGCTTTTCTCTTGGACGTTTTCGATGATTACGCGGTGGACTACTCGGTGATTCTGATTTGCTTGTAGACAATGGTTTTGGAACAACAGATTGTTTCTTTTTAGGTCTATATTTGTAATCAGGGTATTCTTGTGAATGAAGTTTTCGAAGTCGTTCTGCTTCTTCGACAAATGGTTGTTTTTGTTCTTCCGACAAAGATTTCCATCGTACACCTAAGCTTTTTGAGATCACAGCATTATGCATATCAGGAGTTACTTCACAAATTTTACGGCGTTCGATTTGTGACCAAACCTATTTTACAAAAACAAATATTTTGGTAGTTATGAGATTATACTATTTATTTTTTATCAAAACATACCATAAACGGATTCATTGGTCGTTTTATGTGTCCTGGATTGTGCTTTTTTGTCTGTAAAATTTATTTAATCGAAAATCATATTATTTTTTAATTCAAGTTAACAATTAAATTAATCTACATATGCAAAGGAATTCAAACATGGTTAAACTTAATTTTAAATGTAAATCGCAATAATAATTTATTATTTATTTTTGTTTTTGAAAGTGTGCTGTTATGAAATTGGTTTGGTTTTAAAATAAGGAACGCAATTTTTCTAAGTCATTAATATAGTAGCTGATAGAACAAAAATGATGAATCAAGCTGCAATAACAAGTCACAAGAAGTTAAATCTTGTACGTACACATAAAAACACGAAAATTTATTTCATACCAAGACACAATTTGTTGTAAACATGTGTCTGCGCACACATAAGAAAAAAGCTGATTATTTACATATTGTACATGTAAAAATGAAATTGTGTAAATATAAAGTTAGACTGACTCTATATATATATATATATATATATATATATATATATATATATATATATATATATATATATATATATATATAAATATATCAAGCAAAATGAGTCATATACTTTATAATTTATACTATTGCTTTTAGTTTTATTCCATTTATTTATTAATCATCAACATACATATGAGAAGTATATAAGTAATCGAAAAAAAAATTAAAACTCTTTTAAGAGAGTATTTGTTGTATGAGTAATTATTACGTTTCTTGAATTTAAAACTTAAAAAAAATATATTATTTGAGATTGGAAAGAACATTGAAAGTTTTATACATATAAATTGGTCGTCATACATGGGTTGTGCATGTATCGAATCCTTTTAGATTGAATTGAGGGCAAAAGAAAAAAAATACGACGTAGAATATTATTCTTACCTGAGTTGCATCAGAATATGGAGTTTTGGAGTTTAAATCAATCAATTGAGATCCAAATAATGGCAATTTATGTGTTTCCATTTTTTAGTATGACCTTGGTTTTATTTTTATTTTTTTTTATGTTTTATTTTTCAAAATATAACATTCACATACACTTATTTTAGTTTTGACTCATATCAAAAAGTTTTACACAATTTAAAAAATGTTTGTATATATAATATTTATGTATATTTCTTTTTCACAACATATTTAATTAACTTTTCTTGATTGATTTTTCTTTAAAATTCACTTGATAATAAAAGTAAGAAAAATGTTATTTATATTTACTATCCTTCGTAATAGAATACATTTTCCATCAAAACTAACTTAGAAGAAGAAATGATTTTAAGTGTAAAAAAATGTTTATATTCTTCTACTAGCCTTCTCAATTCAGCTGTCTTTCTACAAATGAAACGAACATATGATTAAACAGCTGATGGTCTCCCCTCTCAAAAGTTCAACACAATCAAAATAAGTTTTATACATAAAACCTGAATATAAAGAATTGTTTGTATCACACAGACTCAGTTTAAAAAAATCACTTTGCTAACTTAACTGCGCAGTTGTTCCTTTTCCATGTATTGTTATGTACATATAACTACTACGTTCAGAAAATATTGCCACAAGGACAAGATGAACGCAAATTTTTAAAATTGAGGAAGATCCATGAATACTATATTCTATATAGCATTTTAAATGCGAAAATTAAAGCGATTTTCACACTGAGTATTAGTATGATAAATTTAAAGCAAATGCATTTATGAAATGAACGTATTTAGTACTTCCACACCATAATTTGTTCTGCAAATTTAAACTACTTATAAATCTTTTATTTAACTGACCCAAAACATCATTTTTTTTATTAAAAATTTGAAATATGATATAAGTTAAGAAATATTGGAAAATTAAATAGAAACCAGAAAACTTTCAAGGAAAGTAAATAAATAATTTCAAAAATAATTTAGGTCATTGATGACGTTTGGCTGATTTATATTTGATAAATAAGTGAAGATAAGCTTGACACTTTAGACTTTTCATCTTTCTCTTTTTAAAGAGCAATGAACTGGGAGTCGAAAAATGAAATTTTGCGTCCTTGCTCTCAGTCCGAGGAGGTAATATTTATGCAAAAAAATTAATATTAAGTTTAAGATTTTTTAGATTTAAAACTTAATCGTCATGAGGAAATTTCACTGTCTTTAAATGATTTTTTTTTAAAATAAGTCACAAAAGTAACAAACTTCCATGCGTTTTTGAAACCAGATGAAAACTATGAACAAATTGTCGAAACTGAAAATTTTATAAAAGCTGAAAAGTAAATATAGAAGTGACCAGTTTTCTGTAAAATCTATACTTTAATAGAAATTAGGCGTAATTATATTTCTTCATAATTCTCACAGAAATGATATATTAAAATGTACTAATGAATCAATTTTACTTTTTGCATATATGATGAATCATTTTTGTAATGAAATGAAATACAATACAGACGTGATCGTAAGCTGTAAATAAAGTTCTGATGCTCGTATTTGCATGCCAGGTGACATGAATGTGATTACAACTCGTTCTAATTATTTTTGTGCATTTTATTTATTATAATTTAATGATTCAAATTTTAGAGCAACATTTAGCTTTTTGTTTTGTTTTATTTATTACAATTTTCCGTTTTTTTTCATATCAGAAATTTTCATTTTTCTTTAAATTTTTATGTTTTCATCATTGGTTGATTTTTTTTTTTGTGTGGTATTAATAGATTCTCTTTAGTATTTATTTCCTTTTTTCTTGGTTTTATTTTATATATATATATATATATATATATATATATATATATAAAATATAAAATAAACATTTTATAAAATAAACTGAACACTGGCCGAATATTCTGTCATTTTTTATTCGTAAAACTTTGAAAAATTGAAATTTCAAGATATTTTCAATCAATAACGTTATCTTATAGTAAGATAAACGGATATTATTCAAACCTAAAAGGAGAATTAAAAACTATTTTTCAACTAGGAATTTAAAAAATATTTTTAAAGCTCCTTTTTTACTTTTGAAATTTAAATAATAAGATGAATTCTTTAAAGATTGTTTCAAAAATTTGAAAACTAATAAATTAAGGTTTCACATCGATGCAGAAATAGCAATGCTTATATGCCAAAATAAAATAAAACTTGATGTTTGCAATTTTTAAAGTGACTAAAATGATTTATCATTTTTTATAATTTATGCAATTTTCAACTTTTCATTTTTTGGATTCAATTTTTTTTTAGATTATTCACAATAACATGATTTTTTAAAACGATTTTTAATCTTCTTATATTTTGAAAACGAAATCATAAAAAAATCATGATTTTAAAAAGCTTTAACATATTATAATATTAATTATAAAATCCCGTCTATTTTAACAACCAAAATTTTTTGAAAAACCTTTGAAAAAAGTATGCTAAATAGAATAAAAATAACATTTCAGATTGAAATAGAGATTAGACAATTTTAAAAAATTTATGCATTCCATGGTTTACTTGAGCTATGTATATGGTTGATTGTATATCAAATTTTCATGAATATGCCTCAATTTTAATATTTAGGTCTTAAAATCTATTTGAGCTTTATACTAAAGCTCTATTTATGGCATCAATTGTTCATAATCAAAGATTGTTCTTTATAGAGAAATAATTTTATATATCTTAAAAAATTTATGCTATCTGTTCATCTTCAATAATTGAAAAAAAATTATTTCAGAAATTTTCGAATTTTGCTCTCATCAAATGAGTGCTGATTGAATATTAAAAAAAACAACTTAAAACAAGATTCTTATCTTTTGGCAAATTTGATGAACAACTTTACAAGCAAACTTATTGAAGAAACAAATTTACAATCCTGAAAACTTTCGATTTTTAGACCGAGAAAATTTTATGAATACATATAATTATCTGATTCTAATTGGTTTTTCAGAGAATAATTTAAAATAAATATTAAAAATATTAGAAAACAAAATGCATACTTTAAATTAAATTACAACAGCTAATGTTTGTTTGAGTGTAGTGACTAATTTGAATCTACGTTTTACCTTCCTCCTTCCGTATGAGGATATGCCACACATCATTATTATTCATATTTTTATTTTTCTATATAATAGCATCTATTTTTCGAGATACTGAAACCATTTCCATATATTTCACTGATTGGATTTTTTAATTCATTACTCATTATGTTCGCTTTTTTATTAAAATTTCACCTTAGTATCCAATCTATCGAGTTCTACCAAAAATTTACTCTGTATAGATATAATATCTTAGCATTTTAAATATGTAAATCAAAAGTTTCTGAATTTACAGTTTCCATTACGTTTTTTTAATTTTTTTTTTTCATTTGAAGCCATAAATTAAATAAGGTCCTCATATTCATTTATTTTATTTATTTTTTCTTTTCAAGAAACGACTAGATTAAGAATAATAATATTTTGATAATCATATTTACTTTAAATTCTACTCAATTTTCATCATCATTCTTCACGTACGTTACATATTATTTTTTTCTTAATTTTTATAAATTAAAATGCTTTTTCAAGAACTTTTTTTTCCATCATAATTATATACAAAAAGAACTAACAATATTGTTTTTTAATTATTTTCTAGAGAGATATTGATATAAAAATATAAGCAAAAATATATAGGTTTGACATTGACCCAAAATAAACTTAAATTTTAAAATATATAATTGAATAGATCACAATTAAATTTTTTTGGTTAAATAATGTTATGAAATGCAAATTAATAAATATTAACTTAAAAAAGAAATGCAGGAACTTTCAAATAAAATATTTGAATTGAATTTTAATTTTTTAAAAAATTATCAATCAATTTTTAAAATCAACACAATTTTCAGCTTTGAATAAGATAAAAATATTTTCATCTTTACTTTTTTCAATTTTACTTCAAATTGTCTCACTTTTTTCGTTAAAAGAGTTTTAACAAAAACTCTTTCTCTTTTTAACTTTAATTTTGTCAAAAAATATTTGAAAAGAAATATTCGAAAGCTTTGAAAAAAGTAAAGAACTTATATTCATATTTCATATTAGTTTTGCTTTTATAGCTGAATGAAAATATTTTTATAAAGCAATTTTATTTAACGATTGTTTTAATTTGATTGTAAGAATTTTCTTTCCTATAAAATTGGTTTTTATTTGATGCGCTTCTAAAAGGAAATTAGTTTTAAACTTAACACATTAGATATTTGATAAAACATTTCCCGAAATCTTTTTTTCCGCACATTTATTAAGTTTTATAAAAAAAAGTTAAATGCACTTTTACAAAATTACTTTGTTATATGCTTTGAAAAAAGATGTGGAAAATTGTGCCGCGTTATAAGCAATAAATATAAGATTTTATGTAATAAACTATTTTTTGTAAAATTAAAAAAATAAAGTTCCATAAAAAATCTTTGAATGTTATAATTTGATTGTTAGGTTTATACTTTGAATGTTGATGAGATGTTGTGAATTTTTTAAAAAACTTTTAAATTTTCAGTTTTGGAAGAGAAAAATCAAAAATTTTTTAATTCACAGATTAGAAATTAAGGAAGTTTCAAGGAAAAATTGTAACAGACATAATATTAAAAATTTTAGTGTGAAAGCAAATAGCCTTAGGATTGTTAAATGCATTTTAAGTTAATTTTTTTGTGCTTGTCAATATGAAAACAAAATTGTTCTTAAATTTGTGCTCAACTGAAAATTGGCAATTGTTGTTAATATGATTAAGGAAAAACTCCGTATATTATTAAGGAATGTTATTATTAAGAGAGATTGATGGTTCATTTTGAATAAGAATTTACGAAAGGAAAATTGCAGCTGCATTTTAAAGGTTTAAGTATTTTAAATACCAATAAAATATAAACGTGATGCACATGACATGTTAGATTTTCCTGTTAGTGATTAAATGATGGCTTATAAAAATCGATTTTTTTAAATATTGTACTGATGTACTTAATACCATCAATTCAAATGGTAAAAGTTATAAAGAAAGATAATTGATGTGATTTCCGTATCTAATATAAACCACATCCCCTCAAATTATTTGCTATAATAACATCTGTAACGGCATCGAACACAAATTGAATATTGTTAGTGTCAGTAGCACAAGTCATGTGACAATAAATTTCCTTTGACGTCGATTTATTTTTAGCTTCAAATTGAGCTTGGATGTATGCTGCAGCTTCTCCATATTCCTGTCCACCTGAAAATGAAAATTTTGAATAAATTAAAATAGACAAACATATGAATGAATTATATTTCCAAACCTGTGTACTCGGGAAAACATATCGTCAAAGGTGATTTTCGAATTTTTTCCTCAAACAAATCTTTTTTATTCAAGAACAATATAATGGAAGTATCTGTGAACCATTTATTGTTACATATTGAGTCAAACAACTTAAGAGATTCCTGCATTCGATTCTAAAAAAAATAATAAAGATTTTATATTATATTTAAATGTTCTGTAGATTTTCATTCGTTAAAACTCTTATTAAACATTATAAATTTTTTAATAAAAACTTTTTTACTTTCATATTTGGTCAAAAGCTTAATAAGAAATCATAGAATAGACTGCAAATAAATGTTGCAACCAGTGTTGCAAATGTAGATGTCTACACTAGATGAAGAATGTAGATTCTTCAATAGTTTTTGTCTAGCTAAGAAACTTTCTTCATAAAGATCGATTCTATATAAAGATAGAAAATCTAATCTACACAAAGATTTCTACATAAAGAATCTGTCTACATAAAGATTCGATGTAGATGTCTACAATTCTACATTTTTTCCAGGTATACATCAGAGAAGAATGTAGAATTGTAGACATCTACATCGAATCTTTATGTAGACAGATTCTTTATGTAGAAATAGTCTTTGTGTTGATTAGATTTTCTATCTTCATATAGAATCGATCTTTATGAAGAAATTTCTGTCTCAGAATTTATCTGATCCAGACAAATGGCCAGAATGCAACACTGGTTGCAACAGATGCACATTTCATATTTCATTGTGTTTCGTTTCATTTTCAATATTTTATGCTGTCTTCAAATATAATTTTTATGATAAATATGTTAAAATAATTAGATGATATTCGTTGTTAAAAGCTTTTATACAATTATCAATTTATTTTCATATATAAACATATGACACATTGATGATATGTGTTACTGTCTAGTTATTTTTAAAAAAATTCTCAGAATCATCCCATGCGGGGATCGAACCCGCGACCTTTGGATAACTTCAGCAAAGCAAACATAACATAGACTTAGAAGTCCAACGCGCTATCCACTGCGCCAATGGGACATTATAAAAGACTTTCAAGGTCTTGTTAAATGCACTATGCTCTTGAACCTCAATTTTGAAAAGGTCTTTTGTAAAATTAATATGGGAGTTAATAGAACTTTTTAGTGCAGTTCTTAGAATTTTTATTTTCAATTTATATTTAACTTACTGTAGTTTCATCCTCATGAAGAACTTGATCATATTCGGACATAGCTACACAAAAAATAATAGCAGTTACATCTTCAAAACAATGGATCCATTTCTTTCGCTCAGATCTCTGCCCACCAACGTCAAAAAGTCTGTGAAATTTAATAAAAAAAAAAAAATATCAATAGTAATAAGAAAAAATATTTTTTTGAATATTTATGACTTACTTAAAGTTTAAGTTCTTAAAAGAAAAATGAACTTCAACAATTCCAGTTGTTTTAACTCTTGTTCTTAAAATGTCTTGTTCTGTTGGTTGATAATCTTTAGCTCCCAAGCGATCTAAATCATCCAAAAAGCTATAAATAAAAATATATTATGTTTAATAGTTTTGTAAATTAAAAATACATATAACATTTAGTAAATGCTTCACATTCACGAATTTGTTAATATAATAAAGGTTGTGATATTATTAAGATTTCATATATTTATCACTTTCTAAAGTGAAAGACTTTTCAATGCAATCAAAAAAGTCTACATACTCAAATATTGTCAACTGTTAATTGATTTTTTGATTTTATATGATGAGAAATGTAAATAGGTGAACATGCTGAAATGATGTGATATAAACGTAAAACCACAAAAAAAATCTTAATCTCACATCAAATGCTTATGTCAGGAATTAAAATTTGTATATTTGTTTTTAAAATAATATATTTGCTTTATAAATTTCTTTATAAAATGCACTTTGTTAAACAAAAAACTTAAAATAAAAATAAAATATTATTAGGTAAGTCAGTTTAACGTACAGAAACAAAAGCAAACTTTATTAAAGCTAATTCGAGCGAAGAAAGATTTGTGAAGTGCTGTGTACTGATTCCACAATTTCTTGCGACGAAAACTTTTATGGCGGGGAATTATGAACGTATTTTTCTTTAACAGCAAAATATTTCTATTTTCGTGCAACTTCTCATGTCAGTTTATTTTGTGAGTACAGAGAGTCAAGTAATACTTAGAAAAAAGCTTTAAATTAACTTTAAAAGTGCAAGCAAATAAAATTAATTAAGATTTAATAAGAGTTTAAAAATCAAATGAAATAACTATACGTTAAAACGAAACGTGAAAATGATATCAAGAAGAGCTTTTCTATCGCTACTCTTGCAACGAAATTCTTATTCAACAATAATAAATATCATATCAGAGCCTTTAGATGTATCAAATATTATTACGAATGATAATAAATTGAGGTGAATAATTGTGATGACTGTCATATTAATAACTTTAAGTTATTCATCATTTTTTTTACAAAAAATGTCATGTAAAAATCATTAATCATGAGGTATGAATAATTTTAGCACCAAAAATAAATGTGCAAAACCATTCCATGAGATTCCTGGACCAAAAGAATTACCAGGAATAGGTAATTCATGGAGATTTGCTCCTATTATTGGTAAGTTAAATTAAGATGAAAAAATTGCATAATTTAAATTTATTTTAATCAAATTTTCTATGTTACTAAATGATGTCATTACGTTAAAATAGTATTTGCATTACAGCGTAATACGTTATATAGGTTATAAAAGATACTTTTACTTTCTTCGCTCGCAAGATTTTTACATCATTGAATGTACTATGAAAAAAAGAGTAGATGTCAAATTCAACTACGAGTAATTTTTTCTTTAACTCGTTGCATCATTTTCCAGCTGAATTTTTCTTTTGTGTTTATTTATTTGTCATACTTAATTTTATGATTTTACCAAACAATTAATTCTTTTTATGAGAGAGTTATTGTATAACCGTACTGCCCTTAACGCGTGCACTATAATTTAGAAGTATCCTCAACAGAGTATTGCAATAATATGACCACGAAAATCAAAAAAAAAGCTTGCAAAAATTATTTGTTGAATGATTTGTATAAAAATAAGCTAACATGTAAAAATTATATAAACAGTATTATTAATTGTGCTGAATTATATAAAGGGTACGCAAACGAATAAACTGCCAAATAAATTTTACTTTTACTTTTGTTTAGATTTGAAATCTATTTCCTATTACACATTACCCTTTCATTACTATTAACGCAAGAAAATGTGTGCTAATTAAATTTTATTTGTGAGAAATTTTAAAGACATATTTTCTTTCATTTAGCAGTAATTAAATCCAACAGCTGATTAATTAGCATGTTTTTAAAATAATTTTTAAGATTTTTGTGACTTAAATTTTTAATAAACTTACAAAAATTATTATTTTTTAAGGACAACATAAAATTGAACAACTTGATAAAGTCATGTTACAATTGCATGAAGTTTATGGAAATATTGTAAAAGTGAGTGGATTGATTGGTCATCCGGATCTTCTTTTTGTTTTTGATGGAGATGAAATAAGAAATACATTTCGAAGAGAGGAAGTGCTACCTCATAGGCCAGCGATGCCATCTTTACATCATTATAAAGAGGTTTTGCATAAGGATTTTTTTGGCGATTGTCCAGGCGTAATTGGAGTGTATGTTAAATTTCAACCAAAAATTATTTTTTAACTGTCTTCTCAGTACGTTCAAATAGTAATGAATTTTTTTAAAATATATATATACATATATATATATATATATATATATATATATGCAGACATGGAAAGAAATGGGACAATTTCCGAGCACGAGTTCAACAGGTTATGTTGCAGGCTAACGCAGCAAAAAAATACATATCACCTCTAAACGAAATTGCAGACGACTTTTTAGATCAGTAAGAAATTTAAAAATTAAATAAGTTTAAAAGTATTTGGTTTTTAATATTTATTTGTTTTCTTTTTCAAAATAGTCTCGAAGTGATATTGGACGAAAAATCAGAACTTCCTGGCAAATTTCTTCCGGAACTGTATAAATGGGCTTTAGAATGTATGTTTTCATATGTTATGAAATGATTAAAAATTACAATAATCATTAAAAATAATTTTTAGCCGTATGCAGAGTTGCATTAGATACACGTTTAGGATGTTTGTCGCAAAATTCCAATCCAGAATCAAAAAAAATAATAGCTGCAATCAATACATTCTTTTGGAGAGTGGCGGAGGTAGAACTACGTTTACCAATATGGAGATTTTACAAAACAAAGAGTTATAAAGAATATACTGGAGCACTCGATATTTTTAGGGAGTACGAATAATCTTGAATTGGAATTTTGATCATTACCTAATTGTTTAAAATATAATATTAGTTTGTGTATGAAGCATATTTCTGTAGCTATGAGAAAAATTAACATGGAAAAAGAAGTCAACTTAGAGCATGTGTCCTTATTAGAAAATATTCTAAAAGAAACCAAAAGTGAAAAAATTGCAACAGTTCTAGCTTTGGATTTGATGCTTGTAGGAGTTGATACAGTAAGTAGAATATGTTTAGATTATTTAAAAAAAAATATTCTCTTTGGTGTTTCATGAAATTTAAATACAGACATCCGTTGCAATAACATCGATAATGTTACAACTGTCTCAAAATCCAGACAAACAGGATAAATTGTACGAGGAATTGGTAAAAGTGTTACCAGCCTACAATTCTCAAATAAAACCGGAAACACTTGAACATTTGCCATTTTTAAAAGCTTGTATAAAAGAAGCTTTAAGAATGTACCCTGTTGTACTTGGAAACGGAAGGAGCTTACAATCAGATGCTACAATATGCGGTTATAATGTCCCCAAAGGAGTATGTATTATATTTTTTGAAAAACAATAATTAAAATTCATTTTTGCTCATTACAAATAATAATTTTTTAGACTCATGTAATTTTCCCACATTATGTGCTTTCAAACAAAGAAGAGTATTTCCCCGAGCCATATAGGTTTATACCAGAGAGATGGATGAAAAATGTTAAAGAATCACAGAAAGATATTCATCGATTTATAAGTCTCCCTTTTGGCTATGGACGAAGAACGTGTTTAGGCAGAAGATTTGCCGAAGCGGAAATGGCAATTCTCATCTCTAAGGTATTGTAAATATAAGTAACTCTACTATTTGATTAATAAAATCTTGATAAATACTAAATTTAACAGATATTCCGCAAATATAACGTAAGGTACAATTATGGTCCTATGACATATAAAGTGAGCCCAACATATATTCCAAATAAACCATTAAAATTTCAACTTACAAAGCGCGAGTACTAAGCCACTACATATACGTATCATATGAATATTATTAAGTAATAAGGATTTATAGACTTACTATTTTGCAGAGTCATTTAATTGATATTCGTTGCTTCTACAGAAACATTCTTGCACTCCTGTATCTAACCATAGCCGTTTCATTGCTAAAAGCAAATCTTCAGAAAACGGTTCAGTATCATGCATTCGTTGAACCACATCAAAAACCATTTTTGCATCACACTAAAAAAACAAAAAATAAAATGTATTAGAAGCAGAAGTGATTATAAAATTTGCATGTCTATTTTAATTTTACCTCACGTTCATTATTTCCAAAACTGATGTTTAAGTTCGGCATTGCTCGTAAAATAGCAACAAGCGATTGGATTGTATTACTGTAAACAACTGGTCTATACTGCTTAAAATCCTCAGATGTGAAACCACTTTCATGAATAATTCTAGATAAAAAATTAATTCACACATACATAGTTATAGATATTTGTTATATGATTCTTATTCCGTTAAAATAAATATTAAAAAAGAAAAATTAATGTATAAATTAAAAATATGTATCTCACTTCATTTGTTTGACTATTGTACTTTTTCCCGATTCTCCAGCACCTAAGATTTAAAAAATAGTAATTTTAAAACATATTTAAATTTGGAGCTAATATTAATTAATATTAATATACCTAGCAACAGAAGTTTGATATCCTTAGCGGCTTGCAAACCATCTTCTTTCAAATTTCGTTCAATTAAGCGACTTCTGGCGGCTGCAGCTCGCTCTTCTGCTGATTGTGCGCACCCCATAATTCGTATTGCTTCTGAGCAGAACGTTTTGAAATCTTTTATTCTATTTCGGCCTCACAAAAATGTGTTGCCGAATTCAACTCCTTTTGTTAATTAAAAAGTTTACAGCAATATGTATTAATTTGGATTCGTTTAATATTTTAAACGTAAACTTTTAAGACTTTTTATATGATGACTAGAATATGTATATGCTGTAATATGACACCTGCAAAAAAATCAAATTTAAGAAAAAGAAAATAAGTTTTTCCATGTCATAAAAATAATTGATATAAAGTTAAACATAAAATTATTCATATTGCTCCTTTTAAAACTGTTCGCTTATTATTTACCAAAAATAATGTATTAAGGTCGGAAGCTAATGAACATTTGGAAATATCATTTGTGGAAAAATCAATGTCACTTGTAAAATAATACTTTCAGCTCAACTGCCTTTTTTATATGACAAATTTTATGTTTTTAACACATTAATATTTTATTTGATTGTCATTTTTGCACTTTTAGTATTTAATATTTTAAAAATCAACCGTCCATCATAAGTTTGACTACAGGAATGTTGGGAAAATATTTTTTTTTAATAGAACTTTATTCGTAATTTTCCGCCATTTTCCATGACTGTTCCTTGCCTTAAGAAAATTTTACTACTTCGGAAAATGTTTTTAAGTTTTTATCCATTTTTTCATTAACTTTCATTACACAGCCATTCTTTTATGATAGAACACTCTTTTATTTTCAATAAAATGTAAAATTTACTTACAGTTAAATTCAAAATTAATCAATTGTTAAATAAATATAAAGTTTTCACGCCGCGCCCTATTGAAAACTTTTTTCAAATCTAAACGTAAGGAAAATTATTTGGTATGATATGAAATAGGAAAATGAATTTATGATTGTGTGCGTAGTCAGTGTGTAAGAATCAAGTTCGGAACAATATTCGGCTGTGCCGATTTGTTTTGCGCAAGCTTAGAAGAGAATTTTGGTGTATTGTTGAATTCCTTCTTTGATTTATAAAAATAAATTTAACATTATTCTCATTGAAAAATACCGAATTTTTTTAATTTTCTAGATTATTAGAGGAAAAATCATTTTAAAAACACTGAATCGCGAAAAAAGAAGAAAAAAGAGAAACTATGCATGTTCAAAGTCTTCAAACAACATTTAAAGCTTTGCAATCGCAAAATAGGGGGTTGAGTTGTTTTTGAAATTGTGCAAAAAAAATGAAATTTAATTTTTGAAATAAAATACTTTATAAAAAAACTTTTTAAAAATACCACGTTTTTACCCGTTGACTAAAAAGTAGAAAATAACTTTTTAATTGGGTTCAAAGGATATTGGTTTGAAAATTTGAGATTGATTTGACAGTTTCATACTAAAGTCACGACCATACATAAATTGCAAATTTGTTCACTTCGACCATATCGTATAGTTTTACATCTTAAAACGTTATTTTAAAACATATCAAGGTATTATAAATGATAAGGAATGCTAATAAATATATAAAATCGATATTTTTTTTGAAAAAAGCCTATTATGATCAACACCAAAAATGCTTTAAATTGCATTTTAAAACATATCTAGGTATTAAAAATAATAAAGAATGCTAATAAATATATAAAATCGATAATTTTTTTGAAAAAAGCCTACTATGATCTAAACCAAAAATGCTCTAAATTGCATTTTAAAACTTATCTTGGTTTCATAAAAGATAAAGAATTCTAATATAGATATAAAAGCGATATTTTTTTTGAAAAAAGCCTGCTATGATCAAAACCAAAAAATGCTTTAAATTGCATTTTAAAACATATCTAGGTATTATAAATGATAAAGAATGCTAATATAGATATAAAATCAATATTTTTTTTTGAAAATAGCCTACTATGATCCAAACCAAAAATTCTTTAAATTTCATTTTAAAACATATCTAGGTATTATAAATAATAAAGAATGCTAACATGGATATAAAATCGATATTTTTTTTGAAAAAAGCCTCCTATGATCAAAACCAAAAATGCTTTAAATTGCATTATAAAACATATCTTGGTTTCATAAAAGATAAAGAATTCTAATATAGATATAAAAGCGATATTTTTTTTAAAATAGCCTACTATGATCAAAACCAAAAATTCTTTAAATTGCATTTTAAAACAAATCTAGGTATTATAAATGATTAAGAATGCTAATATAGAAATAAAAACTATATTTTTTTAAAAAATAGCCTACTATGATCCAAACCAAAAATTCTTTAAATTGCATTTTAAAACATATCTAGGTATTATAAATGATAAAGAATGCTAATAAGGATTTAAAATCGATATTTTTTTTGAAAATAGCCTACTATGATCAAAACCAAAAATGCTTTAAATTGCATTATAAAACATATCTAGGTATTATAAATAATAAAGAATGCTAACATAGATATAAAATCGATATTTTTTTAAAAAATAGCCTACTATGATCAAAACCAAAAAATGCTTTAAATTTCATTTTAAAACATATCTAGGTATTATAAATGATAAAGAATGCTAATAAGGATTTAAAATCGATATTTTTTTTGAAAATAGCCTACTATGATCGAAACAAAAAATGCTTTCAATTCCGTTATAAAACATATCTAAGTATTTTAAATGATAAAGAATGCTAATAAAGATATAAAATCGATATTTTTTTTTGAAAATAGCCTACTATGATCCAAACCAAAAATTCTTTAAATTGCATTTTAAAACATATCTAGGTATTATAAATGATAAAGAATGCTAATAAGGATTTAAAATCGATATTTTTTTTGAAAATAGCCTACTATGATCAAAACCAAAAATGCTTTAAATTGCATTATAAAACATATCTAGGTATTATAAATAATAAAGAATGCTAACATAGATATAAAATCGATATTTTTTTAAAAAATAGCCTACTATGATCAAAACCAAAAAATGCTTTAAATTTCATTTTAAAACATATCTAGGTATTATAAATAATAAAGAATGCTAACATGGATATAAAATCGATATTTTTTTTGAAAAAAGCCTCCTATGATCAAAACCAAAAATGCTTTAAATTGCATTATAAAACATATCTAGGTATTATAAATGATAAAGAATGCTAATAAAGATTTAAAATCGATATTTTTTTTGAAAATAGCCTACTATGATCAAAACCAAAAATGCTTTAAATTTCATTTTAAAACATATCTAGGTATTATAAATGATAAAGAATGCTAATAAAGATTTAAAATCGATATTTTTTTTGAAAATAGCCTACTATGATCAAAACCAAAAATGCTTTAAATTTCATTTTAAAACATATCTAGGTATTATAAATGATAAAGAATGCTAATATAGATATAAAATCGATATTTTTTTGAAAAAAACCTACTATGATCGAAACCATAAATGCTTTAAATTGCATTATAAAACATATCTAGGTATTAAAAATGATAAAGAATGCTAATAAAGATATAAAATTGGTTATTTTTTTTTGAAAAAAGCCTACTAAAATCAACACCAAAAATTCTTTAAATTGCATTTTAAAACATATCTAGGTATTATAAATGATAAAGAATGCTAATATAGATATAAAATCGATATTTTTTTGAAAAAAACCTACTTTGATCAAAACCAAAAAATGCTTTAAATTTCATTTTAAAACATATCTAGGTATTATAAATAATAAAGAATGCTAACATGGATATAAAATCGATATTTTTTTTGAAAAAAGCCTCCTATGATCAAAACCAAAAATGCTTTAAATTGCATTATAAAACATATCTAGGTATTATAAATGATAAAGAATGCTAATAAAGATTTAAAATCGATATTTTTTTTGAAAATAGCCTAATATGATCAAAACCAAAAATGCTTTAAATTGCATTTTAAAACATATCTAGATATTATAAATGATAAAGAATGCTAATATAGATATAAAATCTATATATTTTTTTTTTCGAAAATAGCCTACTATGATCCAAACCAAAAATGCTTTAAATTGCATTTTTAAAAATATCTAGGTATTAAAATGATAAAGAATGCTAATAAAGATATAAAATCGATATTTTTTTTGAAAATAGCTTACTATGATCAAAACCAAAAATGCTTTAAATTGCATTTTAAAACATATCTAGATATTATAAATGATAAAGAATGCTAATATAGATATAAAATCTATATATTTTTTTTTTCGAAAATAGCCTACTATGATCCAAACCAAAAATGCTTTAAATTGCATTTTTAAAAATATCTAGGTATTAAAATGATAAAGAATGCTAATAAAGATATAAAATCGATATTTTTTTTGAAAATAGCTTACTATGATCAAAACCAAAAATGCTTTAAATTGCATTTTAAAACATATCTAGGTATTATAAATGATAAAGAATGCTAATATAGATATAAAATCTATATATTTTTTTTTTGAAAATAGCCTACTATGATCAAAACCAAAAATGCTTTAAATTGCATTTTAAAACATATCTAGGTATTATAAATGATAAAGAATGCTAATAGATATAAAATCGATATTTTTTTTGAAAATAGCTTACTATGATCAAATGCAAAAATGCTTTAAATTGCTTTTTTAAACATATCTAGGTATTATAAATGATAAAGAATGCTAATATAGATATAAAATCTATATATTTTTTTTTTGAAAATAGCCTACTATGATCAAAACCAAAAATGCTTTAAATTGCATTTTTAAACATATCTAGGTATTATAAATGATTAAGAATGCTAATATAGATATAAAATCTATATATTTTTTTTTTGAAAAAAGCCTACTTTGATCGAAACCAAAAATGCTTTAAATTGCATTTTAAAACATATCTAGGTATTATAAATGATAAAGAATGCTAATATAGATATAAAATCTATATATATTTTTTTTTTTGAAAAAAGCCTACTTTGATCGAAACCAAAAATGCTTTAAATTGCATTTTAAAACATATCTAGGTATTATAAATGATAAAGAATGCTAATATAGATATAAAATCGATATTTTTTTTGAAAATAGCTTACTATGATCAAATGCAAAAATGCTTTAAATTGCTTTTTTAAACATATCTAGGTATTATGAAGGATAAAGAATGCTTATATAGATATAAAATCTATATATTTTTTTTTTGAAAATAG